GGTGTGTGAATGTGCACAGCCAGCGCCTGGAGCACAAGCCCAGCACCCAGCCCGGCCGCTTCGACTCAGGGAGAGTGCGGGTGTCAGAGCAGGCCGTGCCCCACGCGGCTGTCTGGGTTGCAGCCTGCATGCACGCAGGTCACCAGGACTTTCTTCCGCGGAGCCACTGGGTGGGTTCCATTAACCACGGCACCATCAGGGCCCGTCCGGTTGGTAGTCGAGCACAAGGTGATTGTGACAGTCAGGGACCTTGGCCTGGAGCAGTTGGTGCTTAGCAAGGCTACCTCGATAACAGTTCTTCAGAGATCAGAGTCGGACAAGAGCCATCAGACTGGCCAGCCCCGTTCGCACCCCAGCCTGGTCTTCGCACTGAGGCCAAGAGCCTCAGTGACGTGGTGGCGCCGTCCCTCAGCTCGGGCAAGAGAAGAGCAGCAGCCTGACTTCCATCAGAAAATCAAGATGTGCCACTCAGTTCTTTGTCCCTTCCGTTGCCTTTCAGGAATGTTGCTTACCTGATCCCTCCCTGGTTTCACAGCTCATGTTGTCTTCATTTCGGGGATGGGGAAGGGCAGGAGGCCAAGGTCAGGACACAGAACCCGGCCCTCTCCCTGCACTGCCTAGGCCTCCTGAGAGAGCCAAGCCCAGACAGGGGCAGGCCAGCCCTGCTGCATGTAGTCGGGCGCTCGTGGGGCTCATTTATCTTTCCGCAGTCCTGGGGTGGGGGTGGCGCTGGCATAGAGCCAGACCCCCCCATTTTCCTTCTGGAAGATGGAGCTCGAGCTCTAATCACGTTTCCACACCGCCTCCTGGTTGCTGGTACTTGCCACACTGTGTGTGGGGGGTTATCCTCAAAGCTGGCAGAGCTGAGGGACTGTTTGTGGAAGGTGTTGTTGGTCTTGGGGATGAGAAGTGAAGCTGTATGAGACACTGGAGCTCAGTAGAGGGGGCGACAGGGTGACAGTGTGAGGAGAGAGCTGAGCAGAAGTGTGGTCCACCACGTGAGGAGAAGCAGTGTTAGCAAGGGCCAGGTTTCCTTCCTGTCTTTTTAAAAATAGACTTTTTTTTTTTTTAGAGCCGTTTCAGGTTTACAGAAAAATTGAGCAGAAATTGTAAATTCCCTGGCACTGTTTCCTCTCTGACTAACCCCATGCACTCCTGTGGTTCTTTTGCTCCAGCTGGTGAGCCTATATTGAGCTCTAGTGGTGCAGTGGTTCAAACATTTGGCTGCTAACCAAAAGGTCAGCTGTTCAAACACCCCAACAGCTCCCTGGGAGAAAGATGAAGCAGTCTGTTTCCGTGAAGACAGCCTTGGAGACCCTGTGGGAAGTTCCACTCTGTCCTCTAGGGGCGCTGTGGGTCAGAATTGATTCCATGGAAGTGGGTGTGGTTTGGGCTTTGCTTCTGTGAAGATTGACAGCCTGGGAGACTCTGTGGGCAGTTCCACTCTGTCCTCTAGGGGCGCTGTGGGTCAGAATGGACTCCATGGCAGTGGGTTTGGTTTGGGCTTTACTTCTATAAAGATTATAGCTCAGGAAACCCTGGGGGGCAGTTCCACTCTGTCTTCTAGGGGCGCTGTGGGTCGAATCCACAGCAGTGAGTACTTTTTCTCTGTGTACACAGTCCTGAGGGTCTAACAAATGCATGATGTCCCGTATGCACAGTGACAGTGTCCCACGAAACAGTTTCACTGTCTTAAATAGGCCCAGAAGGCTGTAGGCGTGAGCCAGACATGTTTAGAGTGCAGGAGGGGACCGTGACATTCTACGGATGCCAACGACCCAGAAACGCCACGCAGCTCCTTTTCCCTCGTACTCCTGAGTCACCCTTTACGCTGAGCGTGGTGACGCAGAGGGAACCGGAACCATGGGCTGTCCCACCCCCTTGGCTTTTGTGATAGGTGGAGATGGTGAGGGCCTGTTGTCATTGGGCAGCGTGTACCTGGTGTGGGGAGTCGGAGCAGTAAAGGCCTGGCCACGTCCCCTGCGTGGGTCGCCTAGCGCTCACCCTGCGGCTGCTCTCACCTTAGAGCCCGGTCTTAGCGGTTCCTCGGGTGTGGACCTTCGCTCCCGTCGTACTCCATCCAGCTTTATGGTGGACAAAGCAGCTGTTTTATTCCTGTCTTGGCTGTTTAGCTCAAGTGTGTCCTCCAATCCTAGGAGGGGGGAGAGGCGATCAACGAGTTATGCCTCATTACGTTTCCTGTCACTGGGATCCACAATTAGCACCATGGAAGCAGCAGTCAGGACATGGGATGACGCATTGCACTGGGCAAATCTGCTGCAAAAGACCTCTTTGAAGTGCTGAAGAGCAGAGATGTCTCCTTGAAGACTAAGGTGCCAAGCAACCAAGCCATGGTGTTTTCAATCACCTCCTATGCACTGGGGAACTGGACAGTGAATGAGGACGACTGAAGAAGAGTGGATGCTTTTGAGTTGTGGTGCTGGCGAAGAGTGCTGAAAGTTCCGTGGACTGCTAGAAGAACTAACAGATCTGTCCTGGGAAAAGTGCATCGGAATGCTCCTTGGAAGTGAGAATGGCCAGACTTCGTCTCACCTGCTTGGTCAAGTTTTCAGAAGGGACCATTCCCTGGAGCAGGCTGTCATGCTTGGTGAAGTGGAGGGCTGACGAAAGGGGGGGAGGCCCTCAAGGGCATGGACTGACACAGTGGCTGTGGCGATGGGCTCAGTATAGCAGGGATCCTGAGGCTGCCACAGCACCGGGCGGGGTTGCGTCCTGTTGCCCACGGGGTCGCTGTGAGTCAGAGCTGACCCGAGGGCACCTAGCAACACAACGTTACATCGTCCATGGTTGTACGGGCTGCATGCTGGTCCGCGTGTCATAGTTAAATGAACTTTATTGTTCTGAGGAATCGCTGCGTCATCCAAAAGGTGACGAGTTTGGTGCTGACCACACAGTCGGAGGTGCCTTGGGAGGAAGGCCTGGAGAGCTGGGTCCGATACACCAGGCACACGCCGGGGTGGGAGCGTTTCATCCGGGGGTGGATTGTTCCGGAAGCAGACAGGCTGCGGGTGGGTCTGCAGCCCAGCACAGGGACACACCCCACTCACGGTGACCCGGGGGCGGCCGAGCCATTTCTGCAGTGAGGAATTCATGTGACTGGATGTTCTTGACTTGCTGGCTTCCGTAAGAGGAGATGGACTGTGTCCCACGGCCACTGTGGCCCGGGCTTGCCTGTGGTCGGTGATAAAAACACACGGGCTAGTTTCTCGGCCAGGAAGCAGGGAGGCCGTCTATGGCAGCATGACATCTCCTCCGTCCTCCAAGCACCCGCTGTCAGAGCCGGCGCTGAGCTCCGTGCCCGTTCAGATGCCCCTTGCCAGGAGATCTGAGTTTTGATTCTGTTTATTTTATCCCATTATAAAAGCAACACATTTCTATTATGGAAACATGTAAATGAGAGAACGTAGGGTAAAGAGGGAAAATACCACCTGCCCTGAAACATGGTCTCCATTTTATTCTGTTTCTGTCTGGCTCTCTGTCCTGTGAGTTAGGATAGAAAGTCGGTTTGTATCTTTCCAAGAACTTGACGTTGCTGTTAGTGGCTGTCCAGTCAGCCCTGGCTCATAACCATATCCACAGCGGAACCCGCGCCCCCGCCGGCCCGCACCGCCCACTCCCCTGGTCCCGCCCCAGCCCGCGCCCCCGCCGGCCCCGCCCCAGCCTGGTGACGCCTGCGACCGGACCTCTGTGCTCCTAGTCTGGAGACTGCTAGAACCCGCTCAGCCTCCCAGCAACACTGAAGCCTCCACGGACGGACAGGTGGTGGCCGCAGGTGGGGTGGATTGGCCGGGATCAAACCTGGGTCTCCAGTGTGGAAGCTGAGGGTCCCTGAGCCACCTAAACACCTCCCCATGTTGTCACATGTAATGCGTCACATGCATGTCATCTCTCACTCAGTGAAGACCTGTGGGTTCCCTCATCAGAACTGTATGGGCTGCCAAGCAAAGGACAGGCATATGAGTTGGACATTTATGTGAGGTGGATACACTCCTTGGAGAGAACAATCACGGGAGAAAGAAGGGCTGTGTATGCACAGGGACAGCTCAGGGCGCAGGAGTGCTTGGAGGGATGGACGCAGGGAGGAGGTAGCTATCAGGAGGAAGTGGGAGGGGAGCTGTTGCATTGGGGTAAATTGTGGTCAATGTCATGAGACAAAGTGTATGTGAGCCGCTGTATGGAAAGTGAATTTGCTCTGTAAATCTTCACCCAAATCACACACACACACACAGACACAGACACAGACACAGAGAATTGTATGGGTTGTCCCAGGCAGAATGGTGGTAGGTGCGTGGGTGGTGAGGACAGGGAGCAGGCCATGGCCTCAGATGGGGGGGAGAGACTGACACCTTTACCGGGTGTGATGGGCGAGGCAGGTGAGCAGGAGGTGTGGGAGCAGGAGGTGGGAGAATGCTCACAGGTGCTGAGGCTGGAGCATGAGTGCAGGGCAGTGTCGGGGTGTGGCCAGCGGCACCCCAGGTGGAACCAGGAAGGGGAGACCCAGCCCGACTTGGGAGGGGGTTTCTGGAGCACTAACCTGTGGGTCCTGACGAGGATGGAAGAGCCTTGGTGGCACCTTGGTGAAGCACTCAGCTACCGGAAGGTCAGCAGTTCAAAACCACCAGCTGCTCCAGGGAAAAAGGTGAAGCAGTTGGCTTCTGTGAAGACTGACAGCCTTAGAAACCCTCTGGGGCAGTTCCTCTCTGTCCTCTAGGGGCGCTGTGAGTCAGAATGGACTCCACGGCAGTGGGTGTGGTTTGGGCTTTGCTTCTGTGAAGATTGACA